GTCGCCTTCTACGACAGGGGGAGGTCCCATGGTGCTATTCTACTAAAACCCCCGACACCACACGGGGATACTTATTTATCATTGTTGTTAACTAGACGCGTTAGACATTTCATATTTCCCACTCATTAGTCTCTCTCACAGTTCTTTGTCATAACTCCTTCCGTACGGTAACATGTAGAAACATTGTTTCGATATTTCCCTCGCCATCCCACGATCCTCTCAATCCAGGTATGTTAGTAGTGGATATTGAGCTCCATATCAGAGGCAATAACCAGCAATGACGTATCAATAAAAGATTAATATTGTTTTTCGTCAAGATCGCAATTTGGAGAGTGGCTTATGGTGGCAGGGCGGGTCGTACCCGTGCACGCGCTGCCGCCGCACCTTCTGGAGCCGGCCCAACCTGGACGCGCACGCGCGCGTGCACTCGGGCGAGCGGCCCTTCTGCTGCGCCGGCTGCGGCCGCTGCTTCGCGCAGGCCTGCCACCTGCGCAACCACGAGATCGCGGCGCACGGCCGCCCGGCCACGCCCCGCGCCTTCGCCTGCCCCGTGTGTGGCTGCGCCTTCGGCCGCCAGGTGCGTGGGAAGCGGGCCTCTGCCTTGGACCTTTCCTGTCGCGTAGCTCGAGTACGACCTTTCCGTTGGTACGCGCAGTATGGTAATAGACGCAATATCACAATCCAATATTTGTATTTTCAGTCACAATCGAATTTCCTTCCCTTTTTGTGGGATTTTGGCTTTTTCAGAGTTGATGGGTGTATAGAGAAACCTTAGATTTCTCTCACGTTGTATTAGACTGCATAGTTTTGTTTAAAGAGCTGTGCGCATTATAAATGAGTAAAAAAGAATCTTCTAATATATCGCCGCAAAAGCATGGGTGTTTTTAAACGCTGATGATTTTAAAAATTGTTTACTTGTGTCACTTCTAACATTTACTTCTGCGGGAGGAACAGTTTATAATGAGAGAAAGTGAGTTTATTAACTTTTAATTAAGATTTATGGCAAAAACTATAATAATAATAATAAAAATAACGAACCAAACAGACGCAAGTCTGAGCGGTAAAGATCATCCAGGGATGAGGGCTTCCTCCGTTGGCCCCCCCACTGCTCGTGCGCTGACAGCGTCACCGCGTGCACAATGCCAGGAAGGACGTAAGCAATCCTAGAGCTTCGTGTCATCTTTCGGGGAGCATTCGCTTCGTTCGAACTTCGAATGCAGGGACTGACATTGGTTTCGTCACGTATTTGATAGTTTATCTTTTACAAAACTCTCATAACGGATCATTTTCATTCACAAACAAAGCAACGCAAACGTAAAAATATCGAGTTCGCAACACCGATATTAATAAACCATCGGCTTTAATGAATCTATGCTTAACACAAGGATGTTCTCTAGAGAAATCGTTTTCTGGTGTCGTGGCCAGGGCGCGCTCGCGCTGCACATGCGCGTGCACTCGTCCGCCCCCGCCGCCGCTGCCACCCCCGCCGCCCCCACTGCCACCGCCTCCAGTGCCCTCGACGCCGCGGGAGAAGCCCCACCGCCGCCGCCGCCCCCGCGCCCCGCCGGCCCCGTCACCTGCGACGTGTGCGGTGAGCGGGCGTTGCTTATGCAACACAAAAACTATCCGCTTTTTTATCTCTCTATGAAAACATGCTCTTTGTATTTAAATCTCCCTTCATCACATAACACTTGGCGAAGTTCATTAATTCCCATTTTGCATGATATTATATACGTAGAATCAGACCAAACGAAAACATTAAATTACTACGTGTTTCTTATTTGTCCACAAAAGTGTTCTGATGGAAATATTGTTTTCACTTGTGAACCTCCTCTAATACAGTTCATACACACAGGATGGAACAAATAAGTTGTACACCCTTGTAAGTAAGTACATCCCTTGTATCTCCCCAACCGTGCTAGTTACGAAGATGCTCTTCGAATAGTCGATTGCATAAATACTTGATTACTGCCTACTTTGTCTCTGCACTATTTTTGACTATGAAGTTATAAGGTCAACTTTGTTATTTTTAATGGAACATAATGCTAAATTTTAGCGTATCGTAATGAGAATGAAAAGACAGTTTCAAATATGTGTACATATTTTTAAGCCAATCGTTGTTTTAGAAGTGTATGTTTTTTGTAACATATTTTTTTACTGAATCTGCGATATTCTATTCGGACTTTCCTGCTAACTACATGTAGTTAGCAGCATTAGTTAATGAGCATTTAGGGAACTTCGGGAGTTTGTCCTTCAAACAAACGTGCTCATTTATTTGAGCACAGTAACAACTATTTTCTTCAATACTAATTTTTTCGAAAGATGACTTCTTGCAAGGAAGAATCACGTGTTGCATACAGAATTCAGGATTCTTATTTCGTCTCTTAAATACTCTTGTGTTCTGCAAAAGAACTCCTGCGACTATCCTCGCTTCGCACGTGAAGCAAATAGCAGAGAGAATCCGTTCGCCTTTCGCCCTGAGGAAGGTTGCAGTGTGACGGTCGAAATGTTGAAATCTGTGCCTAGGACCCGCCCACTACCGGACAGTGAAAAATATACAACTTATACACATTTTTCGTCAGTGCAGTATACTTAAAACAATCTACTATACATAGAGAAACATTAAGAGCCAGAGGTAGTTTTCTCAAGAAACCAAAAATCAAGCGTTGTTTATTAAAGGCCACAAAACTGGTATGTGTAAAATGCGCGGTATATTTATACTCCATCCACTGAGATTGAAACGGTCACCTGAGCCACGCTTGGACTGAAAGTGGTGAGGTGTAGGAAAAAGAGATGACTGTGGTTTTACGAAATCTTACGTCAACAATAGCTTTTTTCCTGTTTTGAAAATCATGCGGACAAAATTTCATTAAAATTGGGATAAAATTGGATATTTTTACAGAAGAACAAACAATTATATCTGCATTCATATTTACATATTAGAAAATAATATTTTGAAGAGAGTAGTTTGCTTTTTACGACAAAAAGTACTCTAGATTTCATTGAAAACCATATCTAAATCGTTTTAGTCGTTCCAGAGATTAGCTCAAACCAAAAAAAAACCGACATATCCGACAGGTAGATCGCTAAATAGACCGACAGACACAACGACAGATAACCAAACAGACGCAACGACGAATGGAAAGTGTGGTAAGGGAGGAGAAGGTGACAGGAATGAGGAAGGGAAGGTCGTGCGCTATCTCTATCCCCATGGATTGGGTACTGCTGAGGTATCTCTCTCTGGTGCTGATGGGGGAACAACTATCGCTCAGAACAGCCTGCCCCTGGAATTCTCGTCCAGACTGCAACTAAATTACCCCGTGCTATGCAGCCAGTGTCGAAAATCCGGGCCGGCTCAGTTTAGCTCAAAGCCAGCACTGCCGCTTGCAGCCGCTCTGACGCGGAAGGCCTAGTATTGGAGCCCCGGCGGCTGCGAAATTTTGCATGTAGAAAGTTGACATGTAGGTCGGAGTCGAATCTCTCCATAAGGAGGAAAGAACAAATGACACCACTTTCTGGGATAAAATATTCACTAGAGACTCTGGATTTATGTGCACAGCGGTTGACGTCGCTGGAAAGATTAATCAATCAATCGATTCGCCACAGATGACTTGAATCTTCGGAGATTCCTGCAGCGACGACGGTTGTCGCACTGAGGCATCTCATGCGGTGACGACGTATTTGAAGGGGGTTGCCACGAGGCCTTTGCTCTCCCCAATGAAACGATGTGCAAACTATATGGTGAAATGATAGGGGTGCTGGTGTCGCCCCGAACGCATTTTCCTCACTTTAGCCATCTTCAGACGATATACAATAGACACGTCTGTGGGCACTTCGCATATGCGGGAACCAAGTAATTACAATAGTAATACTTGCTGTGGATGTTTGAGGCGCGCGTCCCGGCGAGGCAGCGCAGCCGCGAGCGTGGGCGTGGGCGCGGGCGTGCGCAGGAAAGACGCTGTCGCACCGCTGCTCGCTGGCGCGCCACATGCGCACGCACTCGGGCGAGCCGCGGCCGCGGCCGCACCGCTGCGCGGGCTGCGGGGCGTCGTTCGGCACGGCGCCGCAGCTGGCCGACCACGAGCGCCGCCGCCACACGGGCGAGCGGCCGTTCGCGTGCGCGCGCTGCGGCCGGCGCTTCCACTCGCGCGCGCACCTCAAGTACCACGAGCGCGCGCACGACCCCGCGCGCCCCTTCCGCTGCGACTTCTGCCTCAAGGCCAGTCGCGCAAGCGAACCTCTCCCACGCTCCCACGCTCCCACACCAAAGGCCGGTCACGATGGCGGTAAACACTCGGCTATTGTTATGCCGAATTCGCAGAATAAAACGTCTCTACTGGTAGCGTCTGCTGTGGCATGCGATTAAAACGTAGTCACAAGGGCACCGTAGAGCGTAAAAGCACAAGATCTCGCAATAGTTATCGGAGCTCTGAAATTTGTTACGCAAAATTTGTGTAAGAACTTGACTAAACTCCCAGGTCATTCAAAAGACTAAGAAGGGCAAGATTTTTTTTACTCATCAAACATTAAACATTTTGCGCAAAGAAGTATAGAGAACCGATAGTCCCTAAATCTGCTTCTTAGGACTGCAACCCAAGCTAGATTTTATAATCAATCAACTCGCAAAATCTTTAATAGTGATTTAAAGAAATAAAAAATGTCAGAATATATCGAAATAGAATGACAATTGCCTTCAAAAATCAATGTGATTTTAAGTTAAATCGGTAACTTTATGAAATCTATTCCTCCAAGAGAAATACTGTGCGAAAACACGCAGATTAAGAACCCCTTCTGACGTGGACCCTGCCGCGCGCTTCCGATACGTGGCAAGGCACTTCTCACAGGGCCACCGTTGCTAGCCACTGCCACACCGCCGCCCACCTTGGGAGGAGAAGGGTTTTTTCAGGGTATGTTTCGCTGACCCTTCCCTGACGACAAACGAAGAAATGCAGCAGATACAATGCCGCGGCGAGTGTACTAGAGGGATAACCTCCATTTAAACCAATGCTTTGCCAGCGGTGGCGCGGATACCGTCCCGGGCTGCTCGTGGTTACCGTCTGTCCCCAAAAGCCAGGGCGAATCCTCAGGGCAGGGTGAATCCTCACGTGGGATGGCCTCCATTTTAAGGGCCCCGCAGACCAGCGCGGAAGACCCGCAGCTGTTGCGGCGCGGAAAGTTCCGCGCTAGACGCGGTGAAGAAATCCGTGGGTCTGTTCACACCGCAGCGTCAATTACGTCTCAGCGTTTGGTGACAGTTTCCTCATCCGATAAACAGGGGCAAGGGAGCTCGACACAGACGCGAGCGAAGACTCCCGTAGACAGGCGGACTTGCAAAGAACTCGAGCGGCAGCAGAAGAATAGCGTCCAACTACATTACAAAATCAGACGCGAATTAAACACTGCCAATCCGCTGCCGCGACGCTCGACTACCACGCAAGTCTAAACGTGTTCATAAGGCAATAAGTGGTGCGAAAGAACCCCGCAGAAATCTGATGGAAATGATGTTTCGTTCAAATTTAGTATGTTGATCCTTAGAACATATTAATCAAAAGTCGTTACGACCAGTAAGCAAAGAAAAAGTGTTTAATTACCGAATGTAGATTTTAAAACGGAGATCATGTCGAATTGTCGGGTGAGAGAAAGACACATACGTATGTGTTCTCAATGCGTATTAAAATGAAACAACCTCACTTGTTTAGACTTATGAATAATGGCATTTCATTTTCCGAGAAGTAACTGACTTTAAATGTAGTAATATTGCAGTGTGAAAGTTAATATTTAAGATAAAACGATGAGATATGAATAATGAGATTAATTGATTACATAGATCCACATGCCGAGGTTTTGCTTATCAAATCAGGCATGTCTATTTCGACTGTTGGCATTGTTTTTTTCAAAATATCTCTTGGAGTATAAGGTTTTGATACGAAGTGCGAGATTCTATCTCCTCCCTTCATCTGCGAGGTAGTGAGGGGAATAAGAATGAGTGGAAGTACAGATAGAGCGGTAGAGGGTACAGATGTGCGTAGAGCGGTATGTAAATGGGTGCACGGCTCAACGCTTTTCCTTCACTTTCTTTCAGGAACTTAAACTGTTCGGAAGGAAAACACTGGTAGGAAAATGGTAAGGCCACGCTGTTCCGTTTGCGATGCGGCATTCGCGCCTAGACAATTAGGATTTATCAACCGTGATGCGAATAATGATCAAATAGACATCGCATTAGAACGATGTAACGCCCCAGAATTACCTCCGGCTGAAATTTTTGTAATACGAAGATACTTACCCTAAATGTTACTAACAGGCTTATTATTATTATTAGTTACTTTCGGGTTTGAAGGCCGTGGTCCAACGGAGACTTGTCCAAACGTTTTGCCTGCAACTGTGGCAGGCATCATCAGTGGCGTTGCTGACGGGGGCGAAGTGTCCTTGGCAGCACGGCGTTGACTGACGCTCCTGCGGCTCTGGGACGTGTATTCATGGTGAAAGGCGAGGTTCCGTTGGACCACGGCCTTCAAACTCGGAAATAACTAATTATGATGTAGAAACCGGCCGTGAAAGCCTACATTGCATGTTAACAGGCTTATGTTTAATCAATAAACCTTATACAATGAAAGGTCAGCGTCTTCAGTCATTTCTGCAAAGTCTTCGTGAAGCGGCAAATCATGTTCGAGACTTTACAGATATAAACTATCTTATATATACCGAATTGAAGTGGATAACTGCATAAACAAAATAACAATCTCATTGGTTTTTGCCAACCTATTCCGGTAATTGGTGGATAAAGATATGTTTCCAATCTAGATATTATGATCCTTTTGTGAAAAATTCGAGAAGGATTATCGGACGAATTTTTGAGGGTTATATTTCGTTACTTAACCAGACAATCAGTTAGCTCAGTTCTCGCAACCGTCCGAGCTTCACTTATGATAAGATTTGTGCCACAAAAAATAAGGTTCAGTGCAATATCTCGGGAGAAATTCAATAGTCACCTTTTCACAGAATTCGCAAATGAGCTTTACAATACTGATCCTAATGACACAAAATCAATTGTGTTTATTGACGGTTCGTATTCGTATATTCATGAAAGCTCCAACATTCCTGTATTACGGACGTCATGTTGTTTGCGTAACGGATATCATTTAGTGAAACCAGCTTTAGCAGTAGCACCAGATGGATACATTCTCGCTATACAAGGTCCGTACTTTCCGAAGCAAGGATGCTACTTGAATTTCAAAACGATAGATATGGTATGAAAAAATGGTTCAGAGAATGAGATTTTTTTTTAGTTGACAGTAGTCACCGCCATGCTAAAGCTTATCTTCAAGAATTAGGTAAAATAATTATTATATCTCCACAAAACCAAGTTAATTTTTTACTACGGAAGAGGAAGCAAATAACGATTAGTCTTTAAAACCAGATGGATCATCAAAATTCGAAATGGGCATATTAAAAGTATTTTCAAGGTTTTTGATAATATAATTGTAATGCCTCACATTGATAAAATGAGAGATTTCCTTTAAATAGCCTGTGTGGTTATGAAGAATGACCATGAGTAATGCTAATCATTAATCAAATACTAGCTAATCAAAAAATTTCGTGAACCAATCGTGGTACAAGCGAGAGTAGAGGTCTCTACAGAAGAAACGTACAATGGGCTCGTTTGAGGCATAACGTGCCACAGTTTATTTCGTGAGAAACATAACATTCGATAAATAATAATAAATGGTTATTATTGCTTTGCAAATGAGAAACGAAAACACTTGAGAGTGGTGCTAATGTTGCTAGTGGCTTATAGCACTTAGGATATGCTAGACAACAGCAAAGTGTTCAATATCCAACTACTACTCTTGCTTTAGATACAGCACACAGACCATCTCCAGTCGATTTAAATGTTAAAGATAATCGTTAAAATGGAGAACTAAAATGCAAAAAAGTTCAAGAAACGCGAGAAGCAAAGGGATTTACAATGATCAAGCAACCCGACAGTGAGAGGCAAGGGGACTTAAAATAAAGATTCACCGCACCGTGTAAGGCAAGGAGACTTAAGTTGATCAAGTACCTCAACCTGGAAGGCAAGGGGGCTCACGGCAAAGAAGCTCAGTGGCTCACGAAAAATGAATATAACATAATTCCGAAGTCTAAACAAGGGAGGTCGATTCATTTGAATATGCTTTGAGCGCACATATGTACCTTTCTATCATCCGACTAAACCTACAGACTAGATCTCCGTTCTAAACTGTACATTAGATAAAAAAACAACTACTTTTTGGATTAACGGCCAGAACGCCTTTTGATTAATGTGGTCTAAGGAACAACATACTAAATTTTCAGGCAATTTGACCGAAACCTCGTTTCCATAAATTTGCGCGCGGATTTTTCCGCCGCGGCCAATCCGCGCAGGCTGCGGATCTTCCGCGCGGTCTGTGGGAGCGTTATGTCACTGCTCTGCCACCTCGCGGTGTTCCGAAGCGCGCTGCTGCGTCTGCATGTGAAGGCGCTCCAAAGCTCACGATGAGGCGCAAAGGCCACGACGCGACAGAATTTCGGAAACATGAAGACAATTGAATGTGTCTCGGATGAAGGTTGTTGATGGAGATGCCCGTGTACGAGATCTAGCTTATGGAGCTGTACATCCCAGCGTATGATGTCCCATGCCAGAAGGTAGCTTACCTTTTATATACAAGCAACATGTATCTGCGTCAAATACCTACAATTTCCTATTATCATTCAGAAACAAAAACAAATAAATTTTACTATCAAAGGAGTGGAGTTATATGAGGGCATACACAAGTGAAAAAGTATAAAAACACACTGAATTCAGATGCCAAATTTTAAAAAAAGCATTGTTCAACGGCGTTGATTGAATGACACGTAAATACAGACATCGACACACTAGAACTGAATTATTTCTTCACTGTTTCATGCCTTCTTTGATAAATTAACTTGAATGAATGAATGAAAAAAATGCAATACCATTTTAAAAGACAAACGTAGAAATAATTAAAGTAATATTTTCTACAAATTATAAATTATGTCTTCCCTCTCTTTCAATTCAAATAAAATGTTCTACACCAGGATTTGCGGTGATACTTTTGCTTTTCAACACTTTTCAGATGTTTACAAAACAATTCGAAACCGTTGTCATCGCGGAATGGCTTTATGGAAAGTCCGGCGTACTCTTGCAGCCAGACGTACCCATAATGTGCTTGCCAACTTAGTGTAGTATCTGTTGGAAGAGAAGGGAGCGCCGTAGTGACTGAGTGGCGCGGGCGGGCGGGCGCAGGCGTTCATGAGCCAGTTCGGGCTGACGCGGCACCGGCGCGTGCACACGGGCGACTTCCGCTACAAGTGCGAAGAGTGCCCCGACGCGTTCGTGTCGCGCGGCCAGCTGCTGGCGCACGCGCGCAACCACGCGGGCGCCGAGCGGCCCTTCAAGTGCCCGCTGTGCACGGCGTCGTTCGTGCAGCGCGGCCTGCTCACGCTGCACCTGCGCAAGCACACGGGCGAGCAGCCCTTCCGCTGCGCGCTCTGCGCACACCACTTCCCGCACCGCCGCCTGCTCGTCGCGCACCAGGCGGTGTGCCACAAGGTGCCGCACGCTTCCAAAGCCGATATGGCGGTTAGGAAAAACACACTTGTTCTACTCGAGGCGATCCTGTTCTCTACGTTGTAGCTGTCGAGTTGTGGTCATGTAGATGTGGTCTATAAGGAGAATCATGATGAATAGGGTCTGTGTCCCTACGAGAGGGAATTATGATAAAACGTGAAAAACATGAGTTGCTAAGATCAGTATTTACTTTCAGCTTTGTGAAGTGTACTTGCGAACGTGGGAAATTGATAAGAATTCAGTGATCTATTCTATAAATGGACTAAAAATATTTTAAACATATACGACTCTTTCGTAAATATAAGCCTTCTTTGTTGCCTAATTGTCCTGTTTACTTGAATCGTCCAAGCACTTCCTACAGAGAAAGTCCTCAAGAAAAAAAAATTGCGTTCAGAATAGGGCATCTGTTTGCTGCTCTTGAAGAAAATGCAAAATAAAACATTGCCAGATTAAATGAAATATCATTCAGTACTTTTGATGAACTAAGAAGCAAACCGGAGTTTCTTATTTTGGACGATTATTGGTCGATGGTAATGTACTCAATTTTCTTTTTCAATATATTCATTGTAACTCTGCCCCTAAAATTATCATTTCAGTTGTGGTGGATAAGAAACTGAAAATCAGTGTGTATTATTGTAAAAAAGAATTAAAACTTTGAGGCCCAATACAATCAGATAAAGTAGGTAATACCCATTTAATTAGTAATGTTTTAGAAAAAAATAGGTTAAAGTTGTGTTTTAATACATGTAGTACTATTAACAAGTAGTAGTATAGCAGTCATCATGCTGGTTTTGCTTTAGTTTAGATTTATTACTGTTAGTTATGTAAATCTTCCAGCTGAAAAATATACATCATTTCATAGTGTAATTTATTATAGTATATTTTAGTCTGGTAACCAGAATTTTACTTCGCCTTCCAGTTTGTATTGCCTTCCTTGGTGGTCATCATGAATAACTGCTCAGACCTTGTAATCTAAATGGTGTTGCACGTACACTGTTCACACATAAATAAACATTCTCGTATAATATTGATATAAAATAAATGAGTTGAAAATTATAAGGGTACTAACTGCTTTTTCACCATTTTACAGTACATGAAAGCGAGGTTTCTAAATTCTGTATCTTACTTAATGTTTTAAAATTGCTAAAGATATTCACTGAGCGCGATTTCTGATAGGTTTATAAGTGAAATATCTATTTAATAATTGCCATTAAGTATATTTAAGCCTGTTTAAAATAGCTTTTATTGTAACCTTGTTCCTTCAGATTCTTCGAATTCACGTTCGCATTTTCGGCATAAAAGCCTTATTGCAGAGCCTTGGTAACAAAAAATGGATAAATCTAGTTGCCAAATTTAGGAAAAAGTCCAATTAACATCTGGTGCAGCCAGAATCCATGTTTTGTGTGTCTTCGATACCGAAAACTCCATTGGCGCCAATAGCTCTGTCCGTCTGAGAACAACGCCAGCGGCTAAACAGTTCAGCCAATGGTCTGTAAAATTTATATTCCCCAGTCGATCTGACTAATGCCTCGATCTCTTGAATTTAAAACCGATATTTTAATATTTAGGGATATATTACATGAAGCCCCGGAAGCATTTTCAAAATTTTGGAAAAATGGATCTATTGTTTTTGATTAAATTTTGTTGTTGGATAGTGAGAAGGACGTTTAAGAGAATGGCACAGGCCACATTTGTATTAAAAATTCTATTTTTTCGAAAATAGCAAATGTTCAAAATTTTTTGGCATCTTCCTACAACTATAGATAGAGATTTTCACTTAATGAAATCTTTTCCTTACATACAGATTTTCAAATAAGGTCACGTACAATTTTTCGACAATTATAGTACTTTTCGCGTAATTTTGAATGGAAATATGGACGAGAAAGTACAAGCAGATTTGGCACCACTAGTTTCATTCTTTAAAAACCTCAATTTCAAACCTCAATTATGTGATTCTGAGTTATTTCAAATAGTTTTTTAAACTTCTGTGTAAAAACTATGTGGCCAAACTCATAAAATATAATTGCTTTTAATGGTGACAGACGTTTTTTCCTATTTATTAGGAAACAATCCATGCTTCCTATTATCTGCAGCAAAGATAGTATGCCTAAAATCCTACAGAGAGCGCCAGCTGTAGGATCACGTAAACAGATAGTACTCTTCTAATATTTTGGCACAAGAGCGGGTCAAGATCATCGTTATCACATTTCAAGATTTTAGATGTGAGACAGACGAAATCAAAACGGCGGGCAAATGTGTGTACAAAAAGCAATAAAAAAGCAATAAAAAAGAAATTTTGTCGAAATGCCAGGTAGTACCTTCATAATTCTCAACCCTTTAAATATTTTTATCGGCCACATACGTCTTTAACCCTTGTTAACATGCAACCCTATAGGTCTGTACACTTTTAGTACACTTGTATCTACATATATCTTAAGTACTTTAACATCCATAGCAACGAAAATAAACAACTATTCATTCGTCTCAAGTCACATGTTTGTGGAAGGAAAAAACATGGCGATGTACAAAACAAATCAGATTAAAACAATTCAAAATAAACGTAACTCATATTAGTTTTGGGGATAATTATAGTTAAATTTAATATTATTAGTAGTACAATTAGAAAAAATTATATTAGGTAAATTAAACTCATTTCTCTAGCATTCCACCAAATGAAACTCTCCTCCAGTAATCATATTTACTGAGGTTAATAATGTGAAGGTGTCGCCACTGATAGTCTACGTACCAAATTTCTCACCAAACATCATTTCTTTAGAATTCTCGGCTGTCCGGGAGACGCCGCGTCGTTGGCTGGGGTGCCGACGTTTCGCCCGACATTTCGCAGGCTTCCTCAGGGTAGTGACACTGCGGCGCTACGCGCCCGTTGATTTAAACTATCTTGCCTGGGCTCTCGGGAGGGGCAGGTGCGCTGTGATTGGCGGAGAGGTCTCCCTGATTGGCCGGCTGTCTGGGCCAACCTGGGATTCGAGCCGCGGAAGCTTACGTACACATCATTTCTTTAGATATCTTTAGGTTTAGGAGAATTATATGCTTCCACCTTTCTCGAACCACGGTATTCGAACATTGTAGTATTGATAATATTGTGAATTGAAATAGATATATTGCAAGCAACACCTCACAATATTGTACTAATCTCTCGCAGAAACAGAATTCAGAATTAATTTGCTTTTTATAGTAGTAATGTAAATTTTCGCATAAATCGTGGGATTGAATGGTGACCGATAAAATGCTGAACATACTATTACGAAATGTTATAGTGACTCAACCAAATTAAAAATCTTGGCTCTGCTTCGCTCCACCTCGATTTTTAACTTTTGGTGTCTGCACTAATAACACTCATAACATTACTAGATATGTTAATAGATTTAACAAATCCATCTTAATTCATGAAATAAAATAGCATATAATTCAGCATAACACTCATTTACGTACCAAAGGTTTTAAAAAATGTTGCTGTTCCACAATGCAACACGCGAATAGCAAATATTTCATTGCTGGCGGCCTTTTCCTAGGAATCTTGCTGTTGCGTGATACCAGTTAACTCGTAGTTACACACGGAATACGAGAATTAGTTTGTACAAATAGTATGAAAACAAGCGGGAAAACTCAATCGAATACATTCATATTTCAGTTAATATTGTTCAAATCGAAAGAGTTGCACTGTTTTTATATTTGACTGAGTCACTGGATATCAACCAAAATCTTAGACTCCTATCACATGACTTTAGGCTGCATAGTTTTCTCAAATACGAAATTAGTAATACATATTCTAATCATCAAAAAGGAAAATAATATTTATTTAGACAATGGTATTTAATGAATTACTTAAAATTTGTCCAGTATAATTTCAAAAGATTAAAAGTGCCATCAAGAAGTAATGTTCTTCAGCATCTGAGTAAATAACCCCTTCCTGGATCAGGTTTCCCGTCCAGTTTCTCTGATCCGTAGAGAAAACGCGGAGATCCGTAGAGAAAATCCGTAGAGAGACGGAATGAATTAAATTGATTAAAGTATAATTTTATTTTTCTGAATGAACCGCTATTTCCACAAAAACGTTTTAACATTAGCGCACGCATGATTCTTCGGAGAAATATTTGTTAATGTTTCTGAAAGGGATGGGATTAGAAAAAACAGAAAAATACGTGTCACCTATTTTCAAACCTAGACCTCATAAAAATTTTTCAAATTGCTAAAAAAATAGTGATGTTTTGCGAGTGTGAAACTTGACGTAGAATGACTCTTTGGCGAGATGTGGCAGGAGAGGAGACGGGCATGTGGATTGTTATCGAGTTAGCAGTACTATAAAATGAAGGTGGCTTATGACTAGCGAGCTAGGTTTCCATTCCGTAACATGTTTTATTTCCCTGAAGGAGCAGTATACATACTGACTCCATGCACTGCCACCCAAGCTCATACAACTGTTTGGTTATCTGTAAGTTTCTCGACTGTAGAGTGTGTTAATAAATGAGGACTCTCGAACCAATGGTCGTGAAGGTGGGACGCCATAGGATGGGCATAACCGCTCGAGGCTGTAGTGCCAGAGCACAAAATGAAATATGTAGCTCGCTTTCCGATGCAAATAAGTTTGCGACCACTCAGAAGCGAAAATTTCTAGTTTTCAAGTGTTTCTAATCACGACTCGTTGATACTTTTATAAACTACACGCCGGAAGTTGTTCTTCTCTCTCTCCCTCTTTCCCTCTCTTTGTCTCACTCGGCCTCTGTCTCTATCTACCTATGTCTCTCTCTCGTCTCTGTCTCTCACTCTCTCTTTCTCTGTCTTTGCCTCTCCCTACCTCCCTCCCCCTCTCTCTCTCTCTTCTCCTCCCGCTATCTCTGTCTCTCTCTCTTTCTCTCTCTCTTTCTGTTTCTCTCGGTCTCTTACTGTCACTCTCTATCTCTGCCTGTCCCTCTGTTTCTATCTTTGTCTCTCTCTCACCTCGCTGTATTTCTCTCTTTCTCTCTCTCTCTCTCTCCCTCACCCTCTCCCTCTTCTTCTCTCGCGTCGCCCATCCTGTCCTCCCTGGAAGTGCCCTGTATCACACGGGAACGCCCAACAATGAAGCCTAGGTGAATTGGGAATTGCATTTAACTGAAGCTCCATCTGATGCTACAGCGCCATAGTGGCTTATAACCAAATGAACTTCACAAAAACTTCTACCATTTAAAAAAATCAAGTAGATATGCCAAAGTTCATGGAGATCAGTCAAATCAGTGTCGGCTCTCATCGATCTGGTACATACCAACACACACACACACACACACACACACACACACACACACACATATATATTCAACTATTATTTGTAAGATGGGACAGATAACCTGGAGCGAGCAGGTTATACGAGTACTTCTTCCTCATCGTTGTTCTTTTGTAAATGAGCTGGAATGCACGGAAGGTGTCGAGCGCGGGGTCGGGGGCGGCGGAGGCGGCGGAGGCGGCGTCGGGGCGCTCGGCGGCAGCAGCCGCGGCCACGTCGCCCGCCGACGGCCAGACGGGGCTCTCCGATGGGCCCCTGGCGCCGAGGAGTGCGCCTGCTAATGGGGTGCGTTTCAGTGGAACTGGCCTTTGGTGAATGCATCTCCTCTGTCAGTGCACATTTCTTGATCGCAATGAGGAATGCAGTTCCTCAAGTAATCGTTTTCTTGGTACACCCAGCAGTACGTCCAATCCAACACGATAAGGCATTGTAGCCAATATCTATAGCTTATTTCCTTTGGTGATGCTGAGATAATTTTAATTACGCGGGAGCAAATATGTTCTTTACCGATTCTTACCAAATACGCTCTACCTGTATTCATAATTCTACACCATATATGTACAATAGGGATCGAAGAGCTCAAGAAACGTGGAGGTATATCACATATCCCTTAGTGTGTGTCACACGGTTTTTCAAAGTTTTATGTTAAATAAATCAGTATTGTTTTAGTGATCCTCTGTTCTTCTTTCTTTGTTCGTTTATTTGCTGCGTGATTTCTCGTCACTATTTCCTCTATTTTTCTTGACTATTAATTTTTATCTTAATGTGTTTGCGCTATCTTCTTTTTTCTCTTTTCTGTATCTTTGCCCGTTTGTTTTTCTTTCCGTATTTTCATAAGGTCGCATTCTTGTTATTTTTTCTTTTTCTACTCATCTGATCTTCGTACATTGCTTCTTGTCTTTTTCATCTCTTTATTTTTAGTCTATTTTATAGTTGATTTTCTATCTCTGTTATTACTCCACGTTACTTTTTGGTTTACACATGTTTTCATATTTTCGTGTCATTCTTTGCATTTTTATATTCTACTGTTGATTTCAATTCTCTCTCGCAATCTCTGTCTCTCAATTTTCTCTCTCTCTCTGATCCTTTTATTTATTTGTATACTTTTTTCTTTTCTTTCCTTTTTCACCTTATTTTTTATTTCGTCTTCTTGATTATATTGATAAACGTTACTGAATATGTCGCGCCGGTAATAATTGGTAGTTACCTAGTTCTTCAATAAGATAGTTACTTAATGCTGAATGTTTATTAAATTACTTTGAGTATTTTTCCAGTAAGCTCTAGATTGTGCTTTGTTATTATACAACACAAGAATTGAAAATTGATTCCAGATATTTTGAAGTTATGTCGATAGTTTAATGAATAACTTATGTAATTACTTTCCTAATACATTTCCATCTCGAAATACAATCAAACGCCGAAACTTAAGCATTTAAAATGTAGATTGTTTTCATTCAGATATTGACATTACCTCGAGACTTAGCTCAATCTACAAAAGTGGTCAAGAACTGAGTGTAGAAGCTTTATTGAAAACTCATAACAAACGAATGGTTTCAGGAAATCGCAGAGTCATCGATGGATATACAGCCGCCAACCTCAAGAGATGACTCATGTGGAATGGAAGATTCGCCGGAAATGCCGCCGTCCGCAGCTATTTCAACCGTAACGGTTCCGTCAATCTCGAGCCTTCCATCGTCGTCCACCCCGAGCGCACCCCAAAGCTCTCGGCCTGTCGTCCCGTCGCCTTCTGTGTCGGTGCTGTCTCGCGCTAAACCGCCTTCATGTCCACGGGCCGCGCCTGCGCCCACCTCCGCCTCCTCAGCAGCAGAAGCCACTTGCCGCGCGGTGGCCGCTGCGTCGCCCGGCCGTTCGCCCCCTCGCCCGCGCCTGCGCCTCGCCGCAGTGGAGACGCCGTGGGGGGAGCAGCCGGCTCCGAAGGCCTCGGACAGCGACCCGGCGGAAGACAGCGCTTCGCTTCTGCGAGAGGCGCACAGCCCCTCGGGCGAGATGCTCGCGAGCGAAGGCGACTGCCACCACATGTCGCATTTGGCCGCTATTGTCAAGACTGCAGCGTGCCTACGAGATATGAACAGTCAAGTCATTGTAAAAATTGACGACGAGCAATATCCTGTAGAAACTTTTCTGCGAACATGTACCCAGCAAGTTAACTACCAATGCGAAGGCCTCGTTAACGATTCAACTTCCGTCACAAATATAGTTAATATTGAAACACACGAAGACGAACACGAAATGACATTTAAGAATGATACATCGCAGTGGCCCTTTGAAAGCATAGAGAGGACCAGCGATGTTATAGTGAAGAGCGATGAGGACACTATTATAGGGTCCCCTCTTTCTGAGGTGGTGATTAAGGTGTCAGAGTCAGACAATGTGGTACATGACATAGCATCGAGAAACTTCCAAGAATATAAATCAGCTTTCAAACCGAAAATTGTGAGAGTGGACCATACCTCCAAATCTCTCCGAAACTTGCCCGTTCAGATTGAACATCAAGATAAAGGGGACAGTTGGCCAACCTGGCCCACAGCGGTTGTGACCATAGAAATAGAAGGTACAGATAATGAAGATATCTAACGAATGAAGATTGAAGAGGATAGCCAATAAAGATTCGCACGCATTCTTTGTGAAAAATTTAACTGTCAGAGGGAAGCAGATGGTTTTGCTGCTGAGAAAGCAAACAGTTGCGCAAATGCGAAGCAGAACAGAATTGACGTGAAGATTGATAATGAACGATTCGGAACTTCTACACAAAGTAGATCCTATGAACCTTCGCGAACGATACGTATTCGAGGTTCATGGACCCGAAATTTACGTTGTAGAACAAGAAACGAAAATGAATATTGATACAGTATCTACCATTTATAACCCTGCCATTTTTCATTTGTTTCACAATATATTTTTATTTTATATTTGATCTACTCTAAAACTTGCATGTGGTCTGTGCACCAAGCAAATAACTCAAACGTTATGAGAAAAATGCAAGATATTCGCTGTGATCGACGAATAATAACGAGATAAAGCTTAATTAAAATAATTTTAAGAGATGTTTTGTTGTATATATACGAGTAATAAAGTTCGGGAAATAATATCGACATGAATTGTGTATATAATTTTTTCAGTTTTTATCTTTGATTCTTCTAACCCTTCGTATGGACACATTTGAAGCACATGAAAAAAACCGGGCACATATGATTTGAATACTAGTGAAAGACTCAAAATCTCTGTTAGTGATCTATAAATATGTATGTACTTTACTGGAAAAGGTGGCTCAGGCATCATCTGATGTCACTGCAGTGCCTTTTATCGAGAGGTCCTTGGTCGACGGTGACAGAATTTTTGACACTTCCTACATAACTAAGGCGAATTCAGCCTGTGTCTGGAGGAAAATTCTAGCGTCCGGCTGCTCTGGTCGGTTGTTTTCCGTGATTTTTAGATCAGAACCTGGCGGATGCCGGAGCAGTACACTAACAAACAGACCACGCAAGGCCCGCAATCTTTTGTTCCTCTTCTTTGCCCTTTCTTCCCCCTTACTTACAGACACTCTCACATGCACTGAACTACCACACCTATTGGGAGCTTACAGCTTGTCACCGCTGGTGCGGTGCCATGCTGGTGGGAGATACCTGCTGGGGAAAATCCACGCAGGATCTCCCCAGACAGAGGGGAAAGATCACTGCTACCTCCCGCGATAAAAGCATGCACTACACTTACGGGTCTAATGACCTTAGCAGCTGACGCGCCCGGAACCACCCAATCAATCAATACGTTTTCCTTTTTTCATCTGTCTCCTTTCGGTAGTCATTTGGGAGTCACCCTCTCTACTGAGCCATTTTCCCTCCAGGCTCGCGAGCACATTTAGCTCGTGTACATTTTCCCCACAATAAGCGGTGATTGGGAGTCCATCTCTCCGAACGAGTTGAGAGGAAGGGGCCAGGCTGCGGCAAAGGTCATCGTCGCTGCGACCCGCAGATCGTACGTCGCGCACATGGGTCTACTTTATACTCACTGAAGGTATCAGAGGAGGAAATGTTTTCACTAGGAACAAAAAAATTTCTTTCAAACTTCCAGGATGAAAGTATGTGATCTTAAAGGAAGAGATCACGCTAATTTCGAAAATAGTTGTAAAAAGTTTGTATCTCGCAGGATTCAAAATATATGAGTATATTTAGTATTTAAAATAAAAATAATCCTATACTTATTTCCGATTGTCACTCTTATTTACTTTACATTTTATTACTACACAATTTTATGAGAATGCTTCATTTGCGATAACAACAAGTCAAAAATGAAATACGCATATTCGTGCAATAATATTGAAACAACTTGGTAGGAGAAATTCGTATTGCATTGTTTAAAAGTGTTTTTGCGCCTTGACACTTACTCTTGTATTCCTGTTTACTCCCTTCGACAAGAAACCAGCAACCTCCCATCATAGCAGGTTCCTTACGCCCTTGACATATATTGTCCATTGCAGCAATATCGTAATGAATCTATTCACCACGTTTTTCAATAATGTCACCCTAATTCTGCGGGAAAAATTAAGATGGAAGTGAAGCAAATGAATTGTCAGTCATTCTACACATCAACGTTTTGTAGCTTTTAGAACATTCTATGATCAATGTTTTATAATTTTTTCTTTCTTTGTCCCGAGAAATGCATGAACAACTCTCTTAAAGGATTGCCAAGCTCCTAACTCAATGTCTTGCAATTTTTGTTCCAATCCAAAAATGAACTTCACACACTACTGGTAGAGTTCCGCATGAAACCGACTGACTCAGAATCTGTCACCGCAACTGTTGTATACTTGATAAGGTAAGGGGTTAAAATAACGTTTTCAGTGACTGATGCGCAGTACGAAATAAGAGGGTGCACGTGACGTGTTTTCAAAACATCCACTACGACCTACCACTAAGACCTAATCGTAATTGAGCTCGACTAACAGATGCCAGAATAAAGACAGCAAGCTTGGAAATACGGCAGCAAAAAAACAGAAAAACCTAATTGTGTTGATATTCCTGAAAGTGAGATAGATGAACTGAAAAAATAACTTTATTTTAAACAAATTTTATGAGTATTGATTTTACATATATTACAGGTGCAATTTAAATGTATTTGAATAGCAAAATACGGTATGATAGGTATGAATATACGTTATATTTAAAAACTGGGGCCTGATGTTTTCTTTACTCTTTGGTGATATGACGTTTTTATTGTGATATTCGTAATATAAGAATAAAATTGAGTACATTGCGCACTCTACCTTCCTGAAGGTAAAATTTGTGTTCCCTAGTGAATTTAAGAAATAAGTATCAATATATATCATTATAATTCTTTCTAAATTTCAAATAAAATATAATTTTTGTTTAAATTAGACTATGAATCCTTCGAAATGTGACAATTATGTTGACAGTAATTATAGATCATTTATTAGAGGAAGTGTGTCTAAAATCGCACAGATTTTGTGATTACTCTCTTGCGCGGCACAAATACCCTTTAAACACTAATAGCGTTGTGCAATGTAATAGTCTTCCACTATCTGTCTGCTGATATCTAGATCCACTTAAGCCTACAATTAGAAACAATGCTAATGAGTGTATATATCTGAACAGGTGCACTTCATGTCTCTCTGAAAATGTCTTCCTAATATAGCACACCCCTCTAACAGTGCGAAAAAAAATTTCCGTGCATAGGTAACCTCTATCAATACTTAAAAATGAGAAAAGGATTCAAAGCAAACAATAATCCAAAGTCTTAAAGCATCTATCTCCGGAGTTTTGTGTAATAACTTTGTAATTAATAAACGACAAAAAAATTACAGAACTAAAGCCTTTTATTTACGTTTTAAGTTTCTAAGAAATACCTTATACCCTACCCAATATCTGATCCCAATTCATTTCGGTCAGAGGGGTAGCCAGATGGGCCGGGATGCTTTCTTCACTTGTTTCACTATCGCAAATGGATGTAATACTTTTCGTTTTTGCGTCATTTTGTTTTTTTTTGGGGGGGGCAATCCTCTTGCACGAACGTAAACTGCATTGTGACGTGGAAGGCCCTGGTCTGGTTTGCGCCCTGTTGAAGCAATGTGTTTCATTACCGTACAGAGTGGTGTTAGGAACACAAGGCGCATGCGATACTGGACATTAACGTAATAACATCCTTTACTATAACATCATAGAAAAGATTAAGAGTGGCTTTTGTCAAAGCATTCAATACAGTGGAGTGTATAATCTGCACGTTAATCGAACTGTATCTACATAAATATTTGGGTCAAACCCAAATCAGAGCAACTCTCAACAATTGTCCGGACAAACCCCTGGAAATTAAAGTGAACACATGTGATAGTACACAGAAAGGACAAAGTAGGCAGTTTTCGCGCCACGGTAGTTCTTGCTTGTGCAAAAGAATGAGATAATAGGCACTCTTCCACTATCAAAACACTAGTGATTTAATGTGTTTAACCGTTCACAAAGCGTCGTCAGCAATTATCCGCTAGATTTACCAGGGGTTGCCAAAATTACCATAAACCGATGACAAGTCCAATTAACGAAGCACCTGTCGCTATTAGCAAAATCCAAGGGAAAAAGTCCGTTGTCTAGGCCGATCACGTAGTCACTTGGTACTCGCGCGTCGCTCACAAGACTCGAACTGGTTCACCGCTCGCTGCGCGCCGTCTTATATCCTTCTGGGCGGAGGGTCGCTGAGTGGCCGAGTCGTGCGCCTCTTGAAGCGAGACAGCTCCGGTGCGCCCTCTTGTGAGCGGCGCCCCTATCGTCATGTGGCGTCGCAGCCTCGTCGCTGAAACCCTGTGGCGGCCGCGGGCGACCACTGCATAAGGAATCAAATTTCGAAACTGATCTCAGTTTCGTTAAATTTTACTTCGATAACAATTCTGAATCAAGGAATTAAGGGAGGGATTGGGGTTAGGTGCTATATAAGTATTAAGAATACACCCATGCCACAAACACTATGCCCATAACGGATCAAGTAGGCAGGACGAAGTGAGGATCAGAAAGGATGAGGAAGGATAGTGAAGTGTTTACTTGGCCATCCGGGAGACGAGGCGTCCAGGGCACAGGCGCCAAAGTTTCGGTCGCCATTCCGCGACCTTGCTCACGTTGTAGTATTGCTCGGAGATTTCAGTTTTTTCAGTTTTCCCCCCTCCAGTTTCCCTGGAGAGGCAGGAATTTATTTATCTTTGGGGTACATT